GAGGGTACTCGTGGCAGAGGGTGTTGATAAGGCCAAATGCGAGGTCGAAACTACAGTCCACCTGAGAACAACTTTTGGGAAAGCAAGGCTATGTGAAAATTCAATTGAAACGTCAACTCAACTCATATCTTTGTGGGAAAATTCTACTACCAGTCCTTCATCACCTTACACGAAATAGGGTGAATACATCTGATTAGGAAAAGATGCCATGAACACAGGATCAACTTAAAAAAACGAGGTCAAATGAGGGATACACAGCAAAAGGAGATGGCAACCAGAACAGAGGCTCCATCCTGCGATTCAATTGACATTGACTCACAGAAGGATTTCTATTCTAAAGTCAAGCCTGGATTAAAAACACATATTTCGAGCAGTAAAGCTTAGTGAAATCTGATGATATCGTGCATTCTAATCAAATAATTGTGGGGAAAACTTTGAAAAACCTGTCTAACTCACCTTAAACAAATTAGGCTAACTAATAGAAGTGGGTTGACCTCGTTGTCGCAACTTGGTCTTGTTGTCAGGGCGACTATGCAGAATGCACCTAGTCCGAAGTCGTCTGCCATAGTAGTTGTCATGATTCCTAGCATCCGATAATGGACTTGATACATTCTCAAACGTTGTGATAGGGCGGCAGTTGAATAAGAGTGTAAAGAGTAGATAGATAGACAATAACAGAAAGAGGAGTGATAGTGTAACCGTTTTCGCCAGAACGTTTATCTCTTTGACGAGTTCGTATCTCGGTGCGGAGAATGGCAAAGCTCACTGATGATGCCGGCGAAACGCTTGATAATGTATCAAGTCCACTGTCAGATGCTGAGAATCATGAAAACTAATATGGTAGACGACTTCGGACTAGGTGCCTTCTACATAGTCACCCTACCAATAAGACCAAGTTGCGACAACAAGGTCTACCCACTTCTATAAATGGAAAAGAGACTGCGACCATGACAGAGGCCACAACATCTTGATCTTCATATATTCTATTAGGCTGACTAAGTTCATAGCGCAAGGGTCAATGAGAAAGTCTCCATTGTCTAGCCCTAAAATGTCAATGAGTCCACAGGTTGGAAGACATAAGCCACAAGGTCTGAGTTCATCTCGTCCCGGAAAAGAGGGTCTCTGCGAAAGGAAACTGAAGGCTGAAGCATTTGAATTGGTATACGATGAGTTACTGGCAAAAATTAGCATTTACTGTTTACACGACTCTCCAACGAGCACGGATCGTCATACAGCCTACTTGCAAAGGCCAATTGCTAGTTTATAGACAACGAATGAGAGACTTGGGGAGCAGAGAAAGTATATCAAATGTCTCTGAATCAGAAGCAATGTTGAATATTTCTTGGCCTATATGGGCTGTATTGACCTAGTGAGAGTGTACCATTTAGTGGATACAGCATGCAGACATAAGCCGGACTTGTTAGCTTATATTAGTTGTACAAATGGTACCGAAATCTGAGGAGATCATGGGCATAAAAATAGAGTTTCCGAGAATTCCTCAATGATCTTTCGTGGCATAACTTTTCGTTTCAAAGAAAGCTTAGTTAAACAGATCCGTCGC